ATTCCATGAAGGGTCTTCTCACAAGGATAACATATGTGAAGTATGAAAGTCCTAGCACTTACCATTCAAAAGTTATGGCCAAGGTTAAAGATTTATTATAAGTACAAACATCTTCAAGGTCAAAAGGAGAAGTTTTTTGGTATCCAATGAAAGTTCTTGCCACAAAAAATACAGATATGAAGTATAGATTTCCTATTACCTTCTGTTCAGAATATATGTCCAAAGTAAATTTAAGTATAGCATTTTTGTGTAAAAGTGGGTCAAACTCCAAGGCCAAGGTGAAAAGTCAAATTTGATGGTACCCTAAGAACGGTCCTGCACAAGTAACACATGTGAAATATGAAAGTCTCAGCTACACAAAAGCAAAAGTAAAAGGCAAATTTAAAATTTTTGCGTGCAAACAAAGAGACAGATAAAGAGAGAAACAGACAGACAGCTAGACGGATGAACAAGACGAAAACTATATATATATATATATATATATATATATATATATATATATATATATATATATATATATATATATATATATATATATATATATATATACTTCATTTTTCTTTAGATGATTGCAAAGCCACTGTCAAACTTCATATGGCCTGATGCCTGCAAATCTAGCTTCGAGCTATGGGACAAATAGCTTCATTGCCTTGTGGGAAGGCTTCAAAAAGTAAAAGGCTATGAAAAACGATCCAGCTAGAAATTCCGTGTAGATGAGCACAAGTTCAAGAAAAGAAACACAGTTATCTAAGGGTAAGATCATCCTTAAAGAAAACCTCCAGTCTCCCTAGTTCAGGTAGATATGTTCAGCAATCTTAGTAGATCAGCAATCCTAAAGTGTCAAATCATGCAGCAATGAAACCTTAACCAGAGATCAAAATGTAAGAAGGATGAAAACCATTCATAGCACTGATAGTATAACGAGAAAATTTCCAACTCTGTGTCATTTGGACAAAACTAACACGAAGAGCGGGTTTCTGGAAGGTTTGCACCCTCTACCAAGCAAGAAAAAAAGTTTATAAAAACCATTTTATATACAATAAAAAATTTCTTGTTGAGATGATTGTGCATAATTTTTAATATTTGTTGGATGAAATTTCTTGATACATGTGCATATATGATTGTATAAGGAATAAAAAAATACATGTATTACTTTTTTGTTTTAAGTAAAGAAGTTTTATTTCGTAGAAAAGTCTTTTATTGAAGGAACACCAGTTAAAATCTATATTTAGAATGAAGTTTGATATGAAAGATAACCAAGCATTAACGTTTTCTATGAAGAAAAACTTCCGGGAAGAAAGTCGACATCTCTCTAAAGGAGAAGTTTCCTCTGAGTCATGTTTTGTCTTTGAATGCACATTCTGTACGGAGGCAAATTAAACTCAAATTAAAAGTATTTATAAGTTGCATAATTGACTTCAAGAAGGATTGCTTGCTGAAGGAGATATTTTTTTAAGGAAATTAAAAAAAAAAATGGGGTGTCACAGTAAATTCCTATTTTCCATCCCTTAAACTTACATACATGTAGTTTCGTTGATAATGCATATCTTTTATGGAGTAGAGAGGGCTATGGAGTGGACATAAGGACTGTAATACAATTGTTAAGATACTACCAGTAATTACCATTTAGGTTTTAGTAGGGGAAATTCCATTTTGTTTAAAAACTTATTTTTCACTTTAGTATCAATAGTGAATAGGTGTATAATTTCCGGTATAAGAAAAGAGTAATTTGCATACCTTGAAGATGAGTTTTAATTTGATAAAATTATTTTTAAAAATGTTCTTCTCAAATCAGTGTCTGATGAAATACAATGTTCAGTATCGGGATTAAACAAAAATGAAAACCAATATCTCATTAAGAAAGAGTACCTATCTATCTATTGTTAGAACACATTCTGATTGCACACATTCAAGTTCTCTGAGGTACACATCAAAAAGATGCCAAAAAGAGTCGGCTCCAGGTCTACCAAATATCTATTGGAATCCTCGTGGGTACCGATTGCGCTCTGTTATTAGCAGACCTAATTTTATATTCATATGAAGCAGAATTTGCGCAAAATTTTCTGAGTGAAAAGAAGAAAACACTTTCTGTGACCTTCAACTCGATATTTAGATATATCGACGACGTACTGCCAATTAACAATGGTAATTTCCATTCCTACGTCGATACGATATATTATGGTAAGGTTGAGATAAAAGATATCACAGAGTCTTACAAATTTGTTTCATACTTGTATAATTTACTTGAAAAAGACATTAATGGTTATTTAATAACCAAGCCCTATGATAAAAGTTATGCTTTTAACTTTTCTATTAACTTCCCCTTACGTTTGCAGCATTATACCTTCATCACCTGCATACGGAGTTATATACCGGTATCTAAATTGATTCGATACGCAAGAGCATGCTCTACGTACAGAGGAACAATTTCTAAAAAGAGGGTTTTTTTAAAAACAAGTTAATGAAAGAAGAATGTCAGCAGTCTCCTTTAAAGTCATCATTTCGCAAGTTCTGTGGTCGATACTATGACCTTGTCAGCAAAGACATTTTCGTACAAATTGTTAGTCCATATATTATTTATCATGTTTATACACTGAATTGACAAGGGTTTTTATCTAAATTTCCCGATCATGAGATGCTAGAATCTCTCATCCATGACACCTGATCACACCTCTGATGTTGAGCAGGTCCGTGTTTGTTCTGCTCCTTTTTTGTATTGTTTTATGGACTTTTGCTTTTGAATACTGTTCGTTATCTCCGTATGTTTCATCTATCATATTTTATTCTAGCTTGTTGTTACTTTTTAAAAACTTTATTTCTTTCTTAATAAGTGTAAATAAGGAGAAAAATACACTTGGCATGCAGTCTTGGGACCGTTCCCAAAACACAGAATTAAGGATTTCAATAGACGTGATTAAGAAAAATTTGGTGATTGCTACATTTATACTTCATGAGTATAGGAACAAGAAAATGCATTTCACCTAATCAACAATATTCTGCGATAACCGACAGAGCCCCCACCGCGCAGAAACTCTTAGCCCTGCGTCCACACATTTTTGAAAAACGCACCTTTGCTCATTTTATATGTTTGATTAATACCAAGGAGCAGATTTCAAAGCATTTATTGAATTCATTTTCAGTATATAATTAGAAACCCCTCTTCTGTTGTACCCTTGGCTCGGGAGCCATGAAATCACGATTCTGTAAGATTGATTGATTGATTGCAATTGGCTGTATATTATTTAATGTCCCTCTCGAGAAGTTTTCACTCATATGGAGACGCCACCACTTCCCGGTGAAGAGTTGCAAATTTTGTCCTATATTCGGCACTGGGGGCGTTTGAGCAGGGAGGGATCTTTTTCGTTCCAGCACCTACTGCAACACGGGACCTCGGTTTATACGGTCTCATCCGAAGGTCCGATCTCCATGTCCCACAGTGGGATTTGGACCCACGACGTAATGATCAACTCCTTACTTCGCGACTCTAGAGCAAACGTTCTAACCACTGCGCCACGCGGGCGACTTATTCTGTAACAAGAGTCGTTGTTAATCATAGCTATAGGCCTATAGGTAGATAATCTGCTTTATACGCAGAACCAGAGGAGAAGATTTTCAGAGAATTGATGCATATATCTACTTTATAATCATTCAATCAGTGAATAGAGTCCCAACCTAACACCAGAATTCCGTATTCAGGGACCATGAAATTCACAATTTAAGAAGAGACATCCTTCCTCGTATTATCTTTGTATGTAATTAGTTTAATACCAAGAAACAGAGAGGGTTTTCAGAGAATTTTTGAGTCATCTATTACGCCTCATCCTAACATTAAAAAGAATGATTCGGAGTTCATATAGTTCACAATTTTAAACTACGCATCCTTTCCATCATAACTACGCATGTAGTTAGGTTTTTCATACCAAAGAGCAGAGGGGAAGATTTTCTTCAATACAGTGCACCTGATCCCACCTCTGATGTTTCGGGGGTCCGTGTTTGCTCTGCTCTTGTTTTGTATTGTTTTATGGACTGTGAACTTGAATACTGTTCGTTATCTCCATATAAGCGTTTTCACTGCGTTATCTTTATAGCCCCGCCCTAACACCAGAACCCCTGAACCTGGGGCCATTAAATTCACAATTTTGGTAGAGGATTCAATACTTATTACGATCATGCAAACACTTTGATTGCTTGATGTTCAGGAGCAAAAAAGATTTTTCAAGATTGTATGAAAGTTATGGAGATCAAGAACAGTTTTCTTACGTACATAAAACATACAAAATAGGAGCAGAGCAAACACGGACCTCCAAAACATCAGAGGTGGGATCGGGTGTCATTGAGCAGTTGGCATTCCCTGTCGATCGGTCATGCCCGCCGTTTCTTCCTTGTCATGATCAGGAAATAACAGGGAAATCCGTCGTCAATTTAGTGTTATAATGGACTAACAATTAGTATGAAAAACGTCAGTCAGCATTTGACTTAATGACAATTTGTATATAAATGAATGATAAATTGTAAGTTTGCTGACAACGTCATTGTATCGACCATAGGACTTTTATCGACTATAGGACGAAATGACGAATTTAAACAAGACTGCTGAATCAGATATTCTTGTTACATCAACTACTGCTGAATCAGATATTCTTGTTACATCAACTAGCTTGTCAATATTTATTTACCTAGTTAACGAAATTGTTCATACGTAAAGCATGGTCTTGCATATCAAATCAACTGACACATAAACTCCGTATCCAGGTGATGAAGGTATATTGTTGCAACCGAAAGGGAAGTTGACTATAGAAAAGTTAAAGTCATCACATTTATCATAGAGCTTGGTTGTTAGATTACCATTACCATTAACGTAAAATATCCAAATATGAAACAGATTCAAAAAAGAAATAACATAATTTCAAACCTTTTATTGAGGTAAAATATTTTATTTCAAATGTATATAAATATATAATTTATGTACAAATAATAATTTACAACTGAGTTTAAAAAATGAATAAGAAAATCTAATACCATGTAAAAAGTTAAATTATATTTGGATACGACAGCTAAGTCAGAGGAATATTTCAACATCATTTTACATTTACAGTCTTCAACAAGTAGAAAGTTAATCAAAAATGATGTGAAATTTTAGAGAGCTCAGATTCGCTGTTTCTTTCTTTATATCAATGACATTACAGTGTTTCTTTCTTTTCGTTTATAAAACTTGTTTGAAAAAAAAAGCTTTTAAAAGTCTGAAAGCATTCAGGATTTTCTCATGATTTTGTGTATTCTCACACATCCATAAAACTCTGATAGATATTTGATATAAATGCTGCTGTCTTTCATCAGAGGACCTTTGAATCAGTAAAATGTACACGAAACAATAAAACACACAAAAAAATTTTGTTCTAATTTTCTGACAAGTTAAAACAGGAAAAACATTTTGAAGCAATTGTTTTAATTATGCTAAATTTGCAAATTGTTTTGAAAAATTATAGAAAATACTTCGGAGAAAATTTTTTGGGCCTGTATTGCAGGATTCTAAATTTTAGAGAACTTAATTATTATAGAAAAAAAATTTACACATACAAATAAGATGTGTTTGGCAGTAAAAGGATTTTGTTATCATTCACTCCAAAACAGCTGACAGTCGTTAGCAATAGACAGGTGATCCATGATTACAACACTTAACACTCGGGAACGATATGAGCGATCGAATTAATGGGATTCCCCTCCCCCCCCCAAAAAAAAGAGCACAGGCCATGCAGTATCACAGTCGCAAATGGAAAAAACAAAGATAAAATCCATAATATCAAATTTGGCTACTCCCAGGCTAAATCATCTTTTCGTAATGTGGTCTGTAATTTTTTCATGTCTTTTAACACATTTAATGACACCTCCCTTGCATTAGTAGGTTGTACGTGAACGACGCCCGCTGAGCGGCCCCGAGTTTTTATCGTCGTGGTCACTTCCACTTCTCCGTTCTGGTGGCTGTATGCGTTTGCCGAGGCTGACCGTCGTTTAGACGGGTCCACGGTCTTCTTTTTCTTCTTCTTTTGATCTATCTAAATAAAGAAGAGAAATATGCTTGATAGAGTTGTCTATCTTTGAATGCAAATTGTTCAGGTTGGAAAACTTTCCAAGTAAAAAATGACTGGAAAAAAAATTAACAAACATCATTTGCTTACTTTATTTTGATGTCGTATTTTAGAGATTTGCTGACTATACTTACTTTATTTTGATGTCGCAATGTTTTAGAGATTTGCTGACTATACTTACTTTATTTTGATGTCGTCATATTTTAGAGATTTGCTGACTATACTTACTTTATTTTGATGACACCGTATTTTGGAGATTTGCTAACTATACTTACTTTATTTTGATGTCACCGTATTTTGGAGATTTGCTGACTATACTTACTTTATTTTGATGTCGCCGTATTTTGGAGATTTGCTGACTCTTGCTCTCCATTCGCGTCACCAGCGCGTCGAGCTCTCTCTCCAGGTCCTCTCTGATCTGGGGGTCCGTGGCCTCACTGATCTCGTGGGACAGCTCCTGGTGCTCACTGAAAGGCAAAGGAAGACCTTAAAAATCTGTCTCAACTACAGCAAGTACATGCACAACAGACACAGGAAAAATTCTTGGATACAGATATTATAAAATAAACTTTCGTGTACTTTTTTCTAATGTATTAAATAATGGCAGAAAGAAAAACATAATTCTCTTGATATGATTAATTTAGGGATAAAATAAGACACCAATTTACATCATGATAATGTGACACAGTGTGATTCAAGCATACACTATCCTATACAAAACGTCCTAATTTTTAATCTTGTGGGTCATCATGATCATAAATTTGATCTCCTGCTTGCATATACATTGTAAAACACTGTGTATAATATCCACTTTAAATGTTGTCAGTAATTTAAAATGAATGGAATGAAATCCACACTTACCAGCTCATCTGGCCAAACTCATCCTGAAGCTGTAGTAGGAGCTCGGCCAGGTCTGTGTCGATACTGCCCGAGGAGGAGGATCCAGAGGACGGACTGGAGGATCTAGAGGGGTGGTGGTCCATACCGTTACACAGCGCCATGTTGTGGGACTTCATCAGGGAGAGCACCCGCTGTACATTGGCCCCCACTGAGTGACTAGCTGTCAGGGACTGTAAACAGATACAAGATTATATAGACAGGACTGTAAACAGATACAAGATTATATAGACAGGACACGTTGTACATTGGCTCCCACTCAGTGACTAGCTGTCAGGGACTGTAAACAGATACTTAAGGAATCACTGTCTTGTTTTGAGAGTATGCCAGGGCATCAACAATAGTGGGAAACATGGGATAATTTGCATAACGGGCGAAGCCCGTTATGCTAAAATTATCCCATGTTTCCCGCTATTGTTGATGTCCCTGGCATACTCTCAAAACTAGACAGTGATTCCTTATATTTTCATGTCATTGTGAAATAAAATTGTAGATTTAGACTTTAAAAATGTAGACATAGACTTAAATCACACGAGGACTTCCATGTTAATTTCAATAGTCCTCGCCCACTGACGTCAAACACAAAGGTACCCGCACGAGATTTACATGCATATTTGGCCTCTTTAGCGTTAGACACAGAGACAGATGCGCCCGAGATTTGCATGCGTATTAGGCCTCCTTAGCTCCTGAACTATCGACCTGCCTAATTTACATTCCAGCAGAATTATCAAGAAATAAACTCCGACAACTTTCAAAGAGTTATCACAGAGAAAAAAAATTAGAAATGGAAATATAAGATTATATAGACAGGACAGGCTGTACATTGTCTCCCACCCAGTGACTAGCTGTCAGGGACTGTAAACAGATACAAGATTATATAGACAGGACAGGCTGTACATTGGCCCCCACCCAGTGACTAGCTGTCAGGGACTGTAAACAGATACAAGATTATATGGACATCATACACTGTACACTGAATAACTAGCCGTCAGGGACTGTAAATAAATATTTCAGTTTTATTCCCAATTGTGATTTTTTATGATTAGCAAGTCATTTTGCTTAAGAGTTTGCTAATGAGCATAAACATTAAAATTATAAAATACACTGTAGGGTGATTTTGACATTTAAATTAAAATTGTTTGTCCACTGACTTAGAAAAATTCTGAATTATTTATACAATGTACTTTCTACACATTTTGCAAAAAAAATTTACCTGACATGAAGTTTCTACTGTGACTTACTTTTCCTGCTACAAATGGGATGTC